CTGCTTACAGACATGCAGGTTGTTTCTTCCATCCGGCTATTCTAAATGGTGCTAGGAGTGCAATTGCTGGGTCATATGGAAATTCTGGGTGTAACTTTTTGAGGAAATGTTGAACAACTTTCTATGGCAGTTACACAGTTTTATATTCCCACCAGTAATGCAGGGGTTCCAATTTTTTTCACAGCCTCACCAACACTTATTTTCCCCTTATGTCTTTTTATCATCATCCTACTAGGTGGAAGGTGGTATCTCATTTCCCTAGTAAGCATCTTAAATTGATTTACTTCTGGACTCTTAAGTTTTATTCCACTGATCTATCTATATGTCTGTTCTCAAGCAAATAGCACACTGTCTTGGCTACTGTTGTTTTGCAAGTTTTGAAATCAGAAAATAGGGGTTTTTCAACTTTGTTCTTTCTCCTCTCTCCCCCAGATAGTTTTGGGTATTTGGAGTCCCTTCCATTTCTATATGAACTTGGGATTTGCATTTCTATTAAAAAATGCCCTTGGGCTTTTAATAGTATTGCACTGAATTCATAGACTATTCTGGGTGATATTGCCATTCTAACAATATGAAGTCATCAGATGCATGAACGCAGATATCTTTCCATTTATTTAGATAGTCTTTAATTTCTTTCTGAAATGTTATGTAGTTTTCAGTGTACTGAGATCAATATGGGCATATTACATAGGCATTTATAGCTAGAAATTTCCCCCTGAAAACTGTCTTCTTTGCATCTCATATACTTTCTTCATTTTCATTCTTTAAGTATTTCTAATATCCCTTTTGATTTTTTCTTTGACCCAATGGTTGCTTAATAATGTGTTAATTAAAAATTTGTGAATTCTTCCAATTTTCCTTCTTTTATTGATTTCCAGCTTCATTCTACTGTGGTTGGAGAATATACTTCGTATGATTTAAAATTATTTTTTTTTTTAGTTGGAGTCTCACTCTGTCATCCAGGCTGAAGTGCAGTGGTACACTCACGGCCACCCCAGTGTCAACCTGCTAGACTCCAGCGATCCTTCTACCTTAGCCTTCCAAGTAACCGAAACTACAGGCGCACACTACCACACCCAGCTAATTTTTTTTTTGGTAGGTACGAAGTCTCGCCAAGTTGCCTGGGCTGTTCTCGAACCCCTGGGATCAGGCAATCCTCTCACCTCGACCCCTGATTTAAATATTTTAATGATTGTCATCACTTGTTTTTGGGCCTCGCCCATGCCCTATCCTGGAGAATGTTCTGTGTGTACTTGAGAAGAGTCAGCATCTCCTGCTGAGAGGAGTACTGTGGACATGACTGCTAGGTCCAGTTGGCCTATAGTGTTGTTGAAATCCCCTATTTCCTTAATGATAGTCTATCTGGTTATTTCATGTAATGCTGACAGTGGAATATTGAGGTCCAATTATTATTTTAGAAGTATCTATTTCTTCCTTCAATTATGTTAACTTCTGCTTTATATATTTTGGGTTTCTGCTGTTAAGTGCGAATAGGTTATAAGTGTTATCTCTTTCTTAAAGGATTTTGAAAGATCATTTTGACTACACAAAATTTCACTTTGGTCAGTGACTGACTGACTTTAGGCACAGTCTAAATGCAGCTCCAGTGAATATATAATCTGTTCCTCACTTTACTTCCACAAAAGGATTTGAGATGTCTTGTAATGAGCTTTTTAAAATAAATGATATATAGATTTCAGATGACTTCTAATAGCAGTCATAGATAATAGTCTTTTATTCCTTTGTTCACCTGTGGAGAGAGAGGAAAACTGATTTCCCAAGCTCTAGGACATCACAGCTAATGGGAATGAACTTCTGTACTTCCCTGAAGACAAGTTCGAAAATGAAATGAAATGAGCTACAGCATTGGAATATTTTTAAAGTTGTCATTATGGGTACATAATAGTGTACATACTTATGGAGTTCATGTGATATTTCTGATACAGGCATACAAAGTATAATAATCATATCAGGGTAACTGGGGTATCCATCACCTCAAGAATATATCATTCCTTTGTGCTAGGAACATTCCAGTTCCACTCTCTTAGTTATTTTGAAATATACATAAAGTAATATTAACTGTGGTCATCCTGCTGTGCTACTGAGCACTAGCTCTCATTCATTCCATCTACCTGTATTTTTGTACTCATGAACTACCTCTACTTTGTTCCTCTCTTCCCAATACCCTTCCCATCATTCTACTCCCCATCTCCATGGCTGAACAATGTTCCATTGTGCATGGATGCCACATTCTCTTACTCCCTGCGTCTGCTGCCGAACACAGGTTGACTCCATATCTTGGTTGAGATGAACAAGGCTGCGATGACTGTGAGGGTGCAAAATACTGCTTCAACATACTGATGGCCTTCACTTTGGATAAATCCCCAGAAGTGGGGTCACTGGTCATATGATAGTTCTATCTTTAGATTCATGAGAAATCTCTGTGCTGTTCTCAATGGTGACTGTACACTTCACATTCCCACCAACAGTAGGTGAGTGTTCCCTCTCTCCACAGCCTCCCGATTGCCTGTCTTTTGGACATAAGCCATTTTAACTGGGGTGAGCTGACACCTCACAGTGGCTTTGATTTGTGATGTTGAGCATTTTTTCATATACCTGTTGGCCATGTGTACATCGTTTCAATATCTGAGAAAAGAAATTACTATTATCCTTGAGTACAGGCTATCCATCTTATGTTCCTAGTGCTAGACTCATAGACGAACTTCCTGCAAGGCTCTCGGTTCCACTGCCAGCCACCTCCACTGTGTTCCCCCAACTGTGGCTGTGGTGGCCAGCACCTGAACCACCCTTCTGTGCCACTGCACACCCCCTGTAGCCACCCCCCACCCTCCAGCTCTCTGGGGCAGAACAGCTGGCCCCTGAGGATTTGAGGACCTGCCGGAGGCCACATGGTGTAGTCCTGCTGAGTTGGCCTAGACACAGTTCTGTGCACCGCCTCTTCCTGTGGCCTTTCCTGTTTAACAAATGAAAATGCTGAGAACAGAACATCTTCCCCACAGAGGTTTCTCTTTCAGAAGTTTTGCTTTCTGAAAATCTAGAGAATCCACAAGAATGAATGGGGGCCTTCAGTGTGTCTTTGGAAAATGTCCATGGACACTTAGGGTCTGCTGACTGGGCCTGTTTTCCACCGAGTTTGTGCGCAACTGACCAGTCCACAGCAAGTGTCAGTTCATGGTTAAGAGTCTGCGGGTTTCAGTGAGGAGCCGAACTGATGGATACCTTGGGCTTGGTGGCTTACTTGGAAAGATGGAGCGAAAGCGTCCCTTTTAAAACCCCTTGGCTCCATGCAGGTGCTGGCTGAGGAGTTCAGATCTGGTGTTCAGAAAGATTCGGGTGTGGAGTTCTGATGGGATCACTAGGAAACAATTGAATGTTTGCCACGGGGGCTGCCGTGAGCTGCCGCTGACATTCTGAGGGGAGGGAGGTGTTGAGGCATTGAGTAGAGTTTGGGGAGCACCAGGCTTACAGCTCGGTTCAGATTTCCATGTGAGCTGACCCCTTAAGAGTCCAGGAAGGATACAGGGGTACTCTGACCATCTAGACGTCCCTGTGGGTAAGTCCCGCAGCGCCAATGTCTGCACACAGCCATTACCTCCCTCCTCTTCCCTAGACTTCATTCACCTGCCTGGACCCTAAAGATATTTCTGTTTGGTGTAAACTTTAAACCCGTATTTCCCAATCAGAGCCCGCTTCAGATTAGTGAATTGTTCACAATTTCCAGCTAGGACCCCAGGAGAAAAACCAAAAGTGGGGGAGGCCAGATGAGGAGAAGGTACTGGGATGTGCAGTTGAGTCCCACATGGCTTTGCCATCTACAGGGGCAACTCTTGCATCTGCATGGTCACTTCCACTTGAGAGCACCACAGGTCTGGCAGGTGCCTGTGGGGGAAAACGACTGTATTGGACAGCATACTGGAGATCACGTGCCCATTCCCCACTATAGTCTAGCCTCACTCCATCATAACAAAACATGTAGTTGGGCCTGTGTTCCCTGCTTTGGGTGAGAGACCCTTGAGCTTGAAGCTCACTGGCCATGGCTAGCTGTGTCACCATGGAAAATTATTTAAAGTCACCAAGCTTTGGCTTCTCACTGATAAAGTCCACATGTAATAGTCGAGCCTTCCCTGGCCTCGGAGGGTTCTTGTTTGATGAAGTGAGGCTAGATTGCAATGGGGACTGGGCATGTGATCTCTGATGTGCTGTCCAATACGGTCACTTTCTCCATGGGCACCTGCCTGGCTAGTGGTGTTCTCAAGTGGAAGTGACCGTGGAGGTGCAAGAGTTGCCCCTATAGATGGTAAAGTGAGGTAGAAGCTAACCCGGGCTCCAGCCCTTGTCTGAGTGAGGCCAGGTGGGGCTAGGGTAGACACTCACCTGCCCTCTGGGCACAGACCTCACTTTCCATGACTCTGCCAAGGACTTCAGTATCAAAAGAAATCTTAAAGTTTCACAAATACCCCACTATTTACATGGTAGAGTCACATTTCTGATTTCTGGTGGAGACTTGGGGATATGAGGCCTAACTTCTAATTAATTCACTATCACTTTGAGAAAGAAGTTTCAATTATAAGAGGAGTATGCTTTGACCTTGGGATGACATCCCTTTACATCTTTAAAGCAATATGCACCCAAATGCTCAGCAAATGGCTGGTAGATATAGACAGACACTAAAGGGGTGAGCCTTCGTTCTGGAGGACGGGTAAACACGACTTGGATCCCATTTGCAGCCAACCATGAAGACGCAGTTCCTTATAAAAAGGGAAGAAAAATGTGGCCCCACACGAAGATTTAAATGAAATCAATTTCCCTGAACCATCACCATGTATGTCCTCATACACCAGTGTTTGCTTGTATGAAGTACAGTTGGGTTAAAAAGTAAAAGCACCACATGGCATGTGGGAAAAAGGCCAAATGATCAACAACTCTCAGCTGCTTGTAATTTGCAGGGACTAACCCACACGTCCGCGAATCACGCTTACCTCCTTGGAGGCTAGGATCTGGCGCAGCTCTTTTCTGAGATCAATAAAACGATCATGGAAGATGGCCATGCACCACGGCTCCGTGAAGTAGCTAGTGAAGAGAGAAGACATTCGGTGAGCCGGCGACGCGCTCATTACCACTAATCAAGTATTTACCTGCTTTTTTTTGCCTTTATAAATTACAGTCCTGGCCCCATTGCAATCGTTTGCTCATAAAATGCCTTGTGGAACAGCCTGGCCAATCAATGTTTTAAATGGATGTTCCTGCGGTAAGGCCAGGTTCCATAATTACATTTAAAGTGGTTTAATTCAGAGCTGGGGCAAGACCCAGCGAAGAATCCTGATTTTATCAGAATTTAAAAGCCTGAAGACTTGTAAAGAACGGTGTCTCCATTATCTGCCCTCGTTTGAGAAAAACAGATTGCAAGATTAACTGAACTGCTGCATAAACAAATTAAATTTGGGTAGACAATAACACAAATGTTGTTCATCATTAAGGTTTCTGGATTAATAAAGACCAGAAAAACAGGCTGCCTTGGTGTCGCAACATGGTCTTCACGCAGTTGTGCTGATGCTTAATTGAGTCTCTTGCAGGAGAGGTGGTGATTATATTGGCTAACTTCTCCCTGAAAACTGAACACATGCTTTCTTACATGGAAAACTATAAGGCTGTCTTGTATTTACAGATGATTGCTGAAAATGTGGATGTTCTTGGAACAATCAAGAACACATTTGGTATTTTCACTCTTACTTTATTTAACGGTAAGTGTGTTGGAACAGGAGATGACTTCCACAGGGTCCGAGCCACGTCGCTTAGGTGGCTTTACTTTCCTCTGGATGTCAATTTGCTGTTCCTGCTATAGGTAGTAGGTATCATGTGTGTACACAGGGAAAGAAAAAAACGATGCCCCCATGCAGATGAGCACCTTCTGTTTTCTGAGACTTAAAGTTAGTTCTTAGGGATGGAGGTAAAGAGTTCAGGGACCACTGAGGCATTGGAGGACAAATACAATGACAAGAGTCAGTGTGGCACTCAGCTATATCGGTCACTGCCTATTCCCTATCCACTTGGCCAGAATATGACAGAAACTCCTGTTAATTGGCTATCTTGTTGTTCAGGTCATATATTCATCCAACTATCAACACGCTGCCTTTCCTCAATGGCTGACATCTGCCATGTGTGTTTCCTGGCACCGTCAGACGTTCCCACCCTTCTGGTTTTGGGGGTCTCCAGCCACATCGTCCAGGTGATCTGGTCTCCTGACCTCTTGTTCTCGGCTTCCCTCACCTCCAGCATGGCCCTGTCCCAACAACCCAGGCACTGCCTGGTAGTCTTCCATGCCCAGTGCCTGTCCATAACTGGCTTTGTCATCCACTCCAGAGAGGGAGTTCTGCGGAAACCCACTGCCATGAGGGACACATGAGGGTGCCTGTCTCGTGTGCTGGCCACCATCCAAACCCTGCATTCCTGCAGCCTGTCACTCAGAGCAGTCTCACTACCCTAAACGTCCTCTGTGCTCCACCTGTCCACCCCTCTTCATCCCTCCCTCTGAATACCTGGTGAATAAACTTTTGAAGAAATTGAATCATATTAGAGAAGTGGGAACTATGTAACCATTTTTATAAAGTATTTTAAAAATCCTACAGTGTTCAGTGTTTATTTCAAAAATAGAGTTGTGTCCTCCCAAGAACAAAACACTGTATACCAAACCTGCCAGCAGCTCCCAGAACACATGGATGTGTGACTTGGGTCATGGACTCTGCGTCCCCACAGCAGCTGGCCCAGGTGAGAACTTGGGACCCTGGCTCCCGGAAAATTCCTGCATACTGAGGGCAGGGCTCAGACTCAAGCTGCTGTTCCCTCTTCACCAAAGAGAGCTACTGCTGCCCAATTGAGGGTGGTTGAGGGGGCCAAGGTGGCCCGGATCCCTGGGGCCTCCTACTGTCATCCCATAGCAGTAATGTGGCAGCTTTCATCTGAGCTTTTAAAAGCTCAAATGTAACCAATCTCACTTTGCAATTGATTATAACACTGAGTCGAAGGAAGATTATTTTCTTTTGATAAGAATGTTAGCCCATCACAGCAACTTGGATGGATTTAGAGTTTATAATTCTGTGCTCTATCACAGAAACAAAGAACTGAGTCCCACATGTTCTTACTCATAAGCAAACCCCGAACATTTACCATAATACTATAAGAAAGAATGGCAGGATACTGCTGGGGCTGGGGGAGAACACATAACATCAATAAGGGTATCTGATCTCAAACCAGGCAAAGTGGGGACCAAAGGGAGACCCAAACTTTACCTGTACAATGTCCACTTGTATACCTAATCCTGAATTGTACCTCACATCTTTAAAATAATAAAAGAATGTTAGTTCAGCAATCCCACTTCTGGGAATATACCCACAGGAACATAAGTCACTCTACCAAGAAGCCACTTGCACATGTGTGTTCACTATAGTACTATGCACAACAGCAAAAACATGGGACCAACCCAGATGCCTGTCAGTGGTGGACTGGGTAAAGAAAATGTGGTACGTATACGTAATGGAATATTACACAGCCATAAGGAAGGACAAAATCATGCATGACTTTGAAGCAACATGGATACAACTGGAGACAATCATTCTAAGTGAACAATCACAGAAACAAAGAACTCATACGCGGGCCCTAAACATTGGGTGCACGTGAGCACAAAGGTGAAAACTATACTGGGTACTACTAGCAGGGGGAAGGAGGGGGAATAGAGGGCATACAACCAACTGTTGGGTACCATGTCCACTACTGGGGGAGAGAGGGCTTGCTAGAAGCCCAAACCTCAGCTACATGCAGTTGCTTATGTAGCAAGTCCTCACATGGACCCTGCAAGCTCTGCTTTAAGAAGAGTTTGAGGTCTCCCCTCACCTCCAAAGTGGATGGCCTCTGACTTTACTCTGCTCTCTCTCCCTGGGAAGGAGAGGCACATCCAGATACCTGAAAAGCCAGGCAGGTTTCTTCCCACACCATCAGCCACCCAGGGCTGGGGCACCAGCAGCATCAGTGACGAGTTTGGGGACATTCACATTTCCACGGATATTGTGAACTTAAAAAACAATAAACATGAACTTTTTTCCAATTCATATTCAAAAGGGGAAGTCTACTAGGAGCCACTAAGTGACCCACATGACTGGTTATCTAGAAATCTCTGGGAGAGAGGGTCAGGTGAGAACATGGTGACAGTGGGTTTTTAAGTAGCTGTGTGTATTTGGGTGTTAACACCGCAAACACCATTTCTACATGGCTGCGAGAAAAGTCACACAAAGTCCCCAGCCCTAAGCAGAAGATACGACTGTCTGTTCATTCTGCCAATGGCCAGCCTGGTTTATTTGGAAGAACTTAAATTCTCTACCACCTTTGCAATTAATACACTTTGCTAAGAAGCCCCAGGAAATGTCGACTGCTGGAAGTGAATTATCCATTTCTGGTCGATATGGTCCAATCATTAGGCAATGGATCAGACTCTCCCGAGCCCATCCTCACCTGGACAACAGGCTGTTTTATTGACAGACTCGTATAAACTGGGTAGGGATCTGGAAATGGGTTCAGCCACTGGTTACACTGAAGGCTAAGTCAAGAGAGCGACATACAGAAGCAGCTGTGGGAAAGGGAACAACATGTCTATGGGACAGAGATGAGGGTCAAGGGTGTCCCTAAAGGCCTGGCTCTTTACTCCTATGCCAAAGTTGTTCTGGCAGACAGGCAGGAAGGAGCACTGGAAGCCAGGCTGAGTCACAGCACATGTCACAGCACCCTTGTGTCACAGCACCTGTATGTCCCAATACCCACATTTTTCAGCACCCGTGTGGCCCAGCACCTGTCACAGCACCCACATTTCCTGGCACATGTGTGTCTCAGCTCCCATGTGTCACAGCACCCAGTGTCCCAGGATCCCTGTGTCACCATACCCACATGACTCCACTGGGGGCTGCTCTCCTGTGCAGTAGGCTGCAAAAAAAAAGGCAGCAGGGGTAGAAGAAATGTATTTCTTTTTCTCAAGTTTTTAAAAATGAAAAGCATTCTACTTTTCTCTTAGTGTGATAACAGCTAGTTTTTGCTGTTGGAGCTGTTGGGAAGATCCTCAGTTGCCACTGCCCCCTGCATGGGGGTCTGCTCGAGCTAGAAACCCAAGGGTCACCTTTTCCCCAGGTGGGCATGGTGGCGTGGTAGCCTGTGGTCTCCTTGGACAATGATGATGTCACTTGTGCATGTCCTTCCCATACGAACAGCACCCAGGGTTCACAGTGGAGGGCAGACTATCTACCCGAGATGCCTTAGTGGGGCCTGCTCGGTAATGGGTTCCCTGTCTCATGATGCCAGGGAAAGCATGGGGCCAGTCTCTCTTCCCGGTGCCCCACCACTTGTCTGTGCACCATTTACATTCAACCTGCAGGTTCAGGAAGTAACAAACGTCACCACAGCAGATGGATGTCCGAGGCCAGGATGACCTACAGATGAGCCTGCTTTGGCCTGAGCAACTTCAGAATTTGGATTTCAGGCCTCTAAAAATTCCGATTAGGCATTGTTAGGCGGCTGCAGTCAGCTGGTTGCCAGGATGCCCTCTGGGGTTTGTTCTAGTTACACCATCAGCCTGGCAGCATTGCCCATCTACACGGGCCACAACAGGTGTCTGTGTGCCAAGCCTGGCTGAGAGGGTTGGGTGAGATGGAGGCAGGACTGTCCAAACGTCTCCTGAAGCCACTGCCCCACGTCCTATTCCCATCTGGTATGTGTGCTAAGAACACCAGAGCTACGTCCTATCCTCCTTTCTTTTTCTTCCCATCTATCCATTTATCCATCTGTCTACCCATCTACCCATCCACCCGTTCACTCATCCACCCATCCATCCGTTCACTCATTCACCATCCACCCATCCACGCATGCATGCCTGCATCCATCCACTTACCCATCTATCCACCCACCTTCTCGTCCATCCATCCATCCATCCACTCACCCACCCACCCATCCACTCACCCACCCACCCATCCACTCATCCACCTGCCCATCCATCCATCCATCCATCCATCCATCCATCCATCCATCCATCCATC